TGTACATCATGGATTCTTACTTATCCATCTACATTTTTAAGCTTCCATACAAATAGGTAGAGAATAAAGGAAAGACTAGATGATGAAACAGTTTAAACAGAGCTATGAAGATGAAGAAAAATCACTGTTTGGTATCACCTTGCCAACAGAAGACTGTGTGTATGAAAGAGACTTGTCACCATCTAGTTAAGAGGGCAGATTAGGTGAATGAGTTTGCGTTTGACCCCGTTGGTGTTGGGGAGATATTTAAAGGTTTGTGAGGGGAGCAGTAACATTAGAGTTGAGCTTTGGAATCATTAATCAGGTAGATTAGTCAAGTAAATTAATCTGGTAGATTAATCTGGTAATGACATGTCATATTGATTGAAGGAAGTAGACCAGGGTCAGAGAGACTGGGAGAGATTGCCAAGGTGGAGAATAGAGAAAGTAAAAGAGGCCCACAAATAGCTTATCCTGCTTTGGTCACTCTTCCCCCACAGATCAGTAGTTTTCTTGGTCAGTATAAAAACTCTCATACTACTTAGCAGTGGGTCTATGGGTCCCCAGAGCATTTTCCCATGTCAATAATTAGCATAACCACTACTCCCCATTTGAATTGAAAGGTTAATTGTAAAATATTTTGTTCCTTTATTTTTTTGGTGAGGTTTAGCACACATCCTGTTCCTCTCACTGAAACAAAATTTTCCACTGTCCACACTTTCTCTTCTGGTGCAGTTGTGACAGGTTCACATACTACTCCAACAAGACCTTAGCTCTCCACTCTTCTCATCCTCTTCTTATGTACTTTAAGATGCTTTAAGTAGAGCTCTATTTATTTTCTCACCTTGAGATTCTGTATTTAAACTTCACCTTTTTTTCTTTGATTTTTATCTCATTTTCATTATTACCTTTCCATCCACACTATATTAGAATTATCCTGTACTTGAGTTCTGTTATTTCAGGTCTTTTAGTTTCCTTATTCCTGAAAGAGCTTTTGCTATTATCACTTTTTAAATGTATCACACTATTTTTATAAAATATTTTGGACATATGAAGGGAGAAATGGATATTTACTCCCCCTTTTCATGTCAAGATTACTTTGATTTGTTAATGTCACAAAAATAAGTTGTTTATCCTTCTTATAAATCTGAAAAATTGTCCTAGGTTTTGAAAAGTATGTTTGCTATTACCATAACATCATATTAAAGGAAGTTCTCATCTTGTTTACAACATATACATTTTATTCTTTCTTGCCCTTCTTCTCAACCAAGTCTCTTCTGACTCACTTTCCTCTTTTGTTAAGATGTTTCAAACTCTTAGCATGCAGAGCTTCTTTGTAAGTACCCTTTAATCACTCTTCTTGTAAACTGATTGTAAACACTTGGCTTCAAATATTATTTTTGGTTATCTTCACTATTACCTTTTTTAAAAATGCATCTGAAATCCCCTCTCTATGCCACTCACCTCAGATTAGGAAAAAAAAAAAAACCCTGCATCCTTAAGGAGTTTTCTTTCACACTTCTCTTGTGGAGTATACACATTCATAAATCTGGTATTTTATCTTTCTCAGTTTATATCAATTCCATAATCACTTATCTTTCCCCACAGTCCAAATCCCATAGACCTTGCAAATGACTAATATTTGTGTGTGTCTTGTCCTCCTCCTGTTGACTTCTGTGAAAAGCCCTTGACAAATAATACATTTCCCTGTCTGGTTTCAGTTTGTTTATGGTATCTTGACTGAATAAAATGTTGCTTCTTCCCAAGCCTAGCACAAGCCTCTGGATTCTTTGGTTTGGGTATGAGTTTTACCTACTATCACCTGAGTCCTGTCACCATTTCCTTTCACCTTCCCAACAGCCCTGCATGGTAGATGTCAATAACCTTTTCTTACAAATGGGTGTTTTCAGTACACAGAGTCACTCACAAGAGAGGAGACAAGCAGGTCTGAAAGCAATGTCCGAATCGGAACTAGTAGGTTAAAGGAGGGTGAGGGGTTTGCCTAAGTTCACTGTTTTGGTGATGTCAAAACTGGTGTTAAACCCAGTTCTATCAGAACCAGCTTTGAGGTATGAGCCTTTAGTGGGATTACCAGGGAGTAAAACTAGGGTGGATAAGAACTTTCTGGAAGACAAGTCAGTTTCAGGTCACCTGAAAACTCTGCTTTGCTAACAGGATCAAAGACTCTCGGAATCTACTGTTGCTGAAATATCTGAAGTCAAGGAGAAACTAGTGTCTTTGTGGATTGGTTTCATTTTCTCTGAAATGTAGGGTTTTGGCTCAGCGCCAGCATATCTACATATGTTGGTACATGAAAAAAAAATCTGGTCACACTTTTACCCTTTAAAATTGCAAAAATGTCACCTCTGACTACCTGTCATTGATGGTAAGTAACACTCATTTCAGAAGCACAACTTTTCCCTCAACACAATTTGCCTTCTGTACCTTCTATAGAAGGAAAGTGAAAGTATAACCTAAATAATAACCCTGCAATTACTACAGAAAAAAAATACCAGCTATGCTAAAATGAAACGGGGTATTTTTCACTTGGTATTATTATAGAATATATGTGTAGAATATAAAAATAATGATTTGCACTCATCCAACTTCTTTCATTCTGTGTCTCAAATCCCTGAGTGTAAGTGGTCTCATTAAGTTTACCAAGCCAATTTAACTCTAGCATGTTCTTGAACCCTCTCTCCAAATCCAGTGAGGTTTTCCTGTCACAAATACTGATCATTATCATCTGAAATTCTGAATATTCTGTAGATACGTTTGACCTTCTGCAGATAAAATTCATTTACTTAATCATTTAGTTATGTACTAAAATAGACAAAACCACCACCACCAAAAAAAAAGAAAGAAAACTGTTACTATGTATATATACTTAAATCTAGACACACATTCACAGACACACATACACAATAACTTTTATGTATAACCAGATTAATATAAGAACAGAAGAACGAGAACAAATATCTTATGTAGATGTATGGAAACAAAGTGCACTGGTTTCTAAAACTCCACTCATTAGTTAGCAAATGCCACTCAAATATTAATTGAAGACCCATGATATCCTAGGGACAATGGAGGATACAAAGATAAATTACTGATAGCAAATAAACAAATGCTCAACTAATTCCACTATAGGTGGAATACGGTAAGCTCCGTGAAGACAGGGACAGTGTATGTATTGTTTGGCTTTGTATCCCAAGAGCCTAATATTGCAAAGAGGTGGTATACAGGGATGCCAATATGTTTGATAAATCTATAATGAAAGAATAATGCCCTTATGTTTTCTCGTAGTTCAAAGGAAGGAGTGATTAATTCTATCTGGCATGACCCAGGAAATCTTTCTAAAGGACAAAGTGGTCTGAGCTTTATGGGCTAGTGTCCTGGTGAGAACAATATGGTAGGAAGAGGCCAATACATAAACACAAAGACAGAGAGGCAGGAAAGCACAAAACAAGTCATCAGGAAGAAGGAAATCATTCCATTGTCAGTCCAGCACAGGAAAAGCACAAGGAAGTTGTAGGCAAAGGCGAAAAGTTAAATGGAGGCTAGGCTACTAAAATACAGAACCGCTGTTAAGGGCTCCAGATTTTACTCCTGAAAGAAGCTCAAAATATGTGAATTTACATTCTTACACCGGCTTTGCTACTTGCCAAGCAGTCATCATTCTTGATCCCAATTCTGAAGCTGTCAAGGGAAGTCTTTAGAAATTCCTGATTATATTACCAGTAGGTCTCTAAGAAAATACTCCTGGCAGAAGGCTGCAAAGCCCAGTGGCCCCAAAAGAGAAGATGAAGACAAGGAAGTAGGAGAGATGCTCCTAAAAGTAACTGATGTTGGACACTTTATCCATTCCAAGTGTGCTCCTAAACACTTGTAATATTTAATGCGGTACTTTGAACACAGATTACTTTAGCTCTAGTCTGCAAAGACCTAACTTAATACAAAAGTTTTGAAAGGTGTAAAGGGCCCCAAACCTCTTCAGAGGGCCCTAAATGCACCCCAAAATATGGCCTCTGTCTGATGAGAGACCGACTCTTAGAACAAAATGGCATAGAGTCAGGTTCCTGGAAATACAAAGTTGTTCCATGAATTGACTATAAGCACAAATGACCATGAACTGTCATGAATAAAGGTATAAAATACATGCCTTAAGAAACATACAATCAAGGTGGAAAAAAAGTTGCTCTTAGGTCTTAGGATGTTTGTATTATTTAATTTTGGTTTCTCGATTGTCTCATAAATTTAGTATTACTATTTCCATCTTAAAATTGAGAAAATTAAGATGAAAAGGTTTTAATTAATTTGCCCAACTCAAACAAGGAGCAGAGCTTGGATCCAAACCCAGATTTATGTAATTCCAGAGTCCATACTTTTTCTTTCATATCATATAGCGTTAGGGCCTAGTTTAGTGTACAGGAAATACTATATCAGCTAAAAGCTGTATCCTTAGCATTAGACTGTCTAGATTCTAGATCTTGTCTCCACTTTTTGTTAGCTCTGTGACATTTTGTTAGCTTTTTTGTTAGACCTGTTGTTAACTATTTTGTGCCTCATTTTTCTCGATTGTAAAGTGGGGGACTTAGTATTAGAATAACATTCCCTATCTTACAGGGTTGTTGTGAGATTTAAATAAAATAGGAAAAGTGCTTAGAGGAATGGCAGGCACACAGGAAATGCTCATTTAAATTAGCTATTATTTGTCAGTGATACTTCATTACCGCAATGAGTTAGACAATTCAATCAACATACAAAGTCTTCCTTCAACTAAAAAAGAATCTCTAAACAATGCTGTGTAGCAAATTTATTTGAACACAAGGAACATACACATTAGTAAGATGATAGGAAAAGTCATGAGAGCTTCATTGCTTTTTGGAATGAGAACTCTAGTTCTAGTAACTTTCCTGACACTGATGAATTTGACTGATTAGCACTTTTGTTATCTGTTTATTTCCTGCTGGTACAAACATCCAGGTGAGATGACACATTTCTTTAGTTCACAAACTTACCCAAGAATGTGGGAGATCCATATCTGTCCATGAAGACTTAAGTTGTGGGTGGTGAGTACAGTGGGAACAGTTGTTCCAAGTTCCAATTTGGGCAATTTGGAAATCAACACATGTCCAGAGAGGGTTTTCTGGAAAAGGCTGCCAGCTGGTCCACATCTGAACTTCACCTTCATTGTGGGATAACATTTCTGCCAAATTGCATCCAGGTGAGGTGCTGGATCTAGCCAGTGATGCAGAAATAGAATTCAGTCCAGTCTTCATTTCTCCCCTTGTGCTAACGTTATTAATTTTCTTTCCTTGGGATTTGGCTAATTTCATACAGGAAATCAGTGTTTCATCTTCATCTTCTGAATGACAAAGAAAAATAAGAAGTAGATCTGTCTAATAATTTTGCACATGTAGAAATTATGAGTATTATATTTCCTTTTATATAGTAGAAATAAATGAACACCATAGAATAAGCCAGGAAGTCATTTAATTTCACAAAATAATTTATAATTGCAATTCTTTGAAGAGTAATCCTTTGTATAGTAAATGACTTGCTTTGTTTTTTAAAGGTTTTTTTTTAAGATTTTATTTATTTATTTATTTGAGAAAGAGAGCACGAGCATGAGAGAGAGAGAAATGACAAGCGGTGGGGGTGGGGGGGTAGAGGGAGAAGCCGACTCCCTGCTGAGCAGGGAGCCTGATGGGGGGCTTGATCCCAGGACCCCAGGATCATGACCTGAACAGAAGGCAGACACTTAACCGACTAAGCCATCCAGGAGTCCAGTGACTTGTTTTATAAAGACATTTACCCAGAACATTTTGAAACTGTATATAATGATTAAATTCAGTTTAACTACAATGCTTGAAAGCCACGTGAAAATAATATACTGAAAGATATTTGAGAAAAATTACAAATTAAAAAAAATTCCACACATTGTATCAACATAATATGGTGTGCTTATATTATTAAATTCTGTTTTTTATATTATTAAATTCTTAAAAACATTTTTTGAGGTAATATGTATGGAGCACATCATAAGGAAGTAAATGAAATATTCCCTTTACATAAAAATAATGAAATCTCAGTGGACATGGGCTGAAATCCTATTGACATATTAGTATTTTTAATACAAATCTATAAAGAGATTTATGTATACAGTGTTTCTCATGGTGAAATATTTTGGAAATGGAAAAACAGATGAGAATACAACAAAAAGAAGGTATATATTTATACTATATAATTGATTAGTAAGACCTATATTTACATATGGTGAAGGGTCTGATGAAATTTCTGGTAGTATACAAAACAGTTCCAGAAAATAGAAATATATGTTACCCATAGTAAATTGTACCATATCATTGAATCTCTTTTAGTTAAAACATTTAACTGGTGTAAGTAAAAGATTATGATTAATAGTATGTAATCGTGCGTAAATAAATGAACATCCAAGTTGCATGTTATGATATGCCATTTTGCTGCACTTACACATCAGAATTGATAAATACTGTTTTCTGTGGCCAAAGAATGAGGATAGTGGATAGTGCTAACCCTTCTTATCTCTTTCTCTCACTGTATCCCTGAGTCTGGTCTTGAAGGGAAGGAGAAATGGGGCATATAAAGCAAAATTCAGTAATAGGGTAAGGATATCTGTTTCACAAATAAATAAACTGGTAATTTAAAAACCCTCAACATTTAATGATCATTTTAAGGCCTTATCAAAATGGCCTTCATTTAATATATGCTACCCCAGTTCCTTCTCAAAGAACTTTTAGCAGCATTTTGACTTCTTACTTATGGAGATTTATGAATGTAGGTTTCATCTCATTCAGATTGGACACCCTGTCTTTCTTGGTCTGAACCAGTTTCTGTAGTCTCTTTAACGTTCCCACTGATTTGACTGGGTCACCTGATTTTACAGCCTAGCACAAACACAGCTCAAGGTAAAGACAAATTATTCTTCACAAAAGATCAAATATAAAATGTGTTGAGATCATAAATGTGGGAAAATTAATAACGTGACCTTAAAACCTGTAGCCTGAGACAATTTTAAGCAATAACTTGAAAGCAGACCATTTTTTGGTTTCAAACTTGTAAAATATATTACAACTGGCCAGTCATACTAAAGCAGGGCGTTTTTTACTTTTTCCTTTTTTTTTTTTTTTAAGTTCAAAATCCAGCCACATGGATTGAATCTGGAGCTATCTATAAATGAGTTGCTTGTGCTCAATGTGAAATAGTGGAAAGGAACAAGGTCTTTGCAGGATAACAAAGAAGGAATGAGAGGTTTAAAGTTGCCCCTTTTGAGTGTTGGAACAGATTGAGGGCATGCACACACAAGAAAGCAAAACTCAGATTTTCTTCATTTTTCTGTTTGGAAATTTCTGATAAAACAGAATTACATTTTAAGTATGAAATGTTTTCAAATAATATACTTTTCCTTAAACAGCCTCCTACTTTTTAGGAGATAGACACTGAGCAAAAACAAAACAAAACAGCCAGGGCATTCTGTTTTATGCTTCAGTTTGTAAGTGTCACTGGTTTTGTTATAGCAAAAAATATAGATAGAAGAATTAATACTGCTTAATGACTCAAAATTTCTTTGAAAGATACAGAAACACTTCCCACTAGTTTAACGTCACAAACTAGTTTAGTTTGTATTTATGTTGATTTTATTTACTGTATTTACGATAGCTTACTCTTAACAATTTCAAAATATTTTGGAAACTAATACTTTATGTGCTAAATTTAATGCTAATTGGTCAAATGATGGTATTCTGTGCTGTTAACTAGATATGAAGTAATACATAGAGGAACACTTCTTTTTCATACAGAAATCTCTGGACTCAGAAATATTTTTGCCTCTGCTTTTGCCTCATTCTTTCCACTGAACAGCTGATAAATGACATCTAAATAGATACTGCAGTTTCCAAAAGGTGAATGGCCTGCTTCCTCATTAATATTTGAATGAGATATATTGATAATAGTGCTTTCCAATCCTTTAAGAGAGACTAAGCCCAAAGAAATGTTTGCAAGAAAAGGATCTCTGGCACACAAACATTTCCAATCATTATTTTCAGCACTTACTCTTGGTCTTTAAGAATGACTGAGCAACCAGTATAAACTTGATGTTCTGTCTCTGCATAATAGCACCTAAGTAGGAAATGTGATGTTTTGTCAGAGCAAGCCATACCTGTTTGCATTAAATAAGTGGGAAAATATTGAAATCATTTTAATCTTTCAGGGAGGCCTGTGATGAGATTTTTCTTAGATATGCAAAATATTCCCTCTCTTTCCAAAGGTCATGCTCAGCTCAACACAATTTCTATTGCTATTTATTTTGGTATTATTTTCTCCTGTATTCCTTTTCAGTATTTTCTAAGTTACTCAGTTTTATAGGCCCTGTAACTCAAGAAGAGTCATTTTCTAATCTTTAGGCCCTTCCAGAAATAATAAGGTGACATTGCACGACCATTGAGCATGATGATTTTCTTTGTTGTACTTCTTTTCATATGGCAATCTCCTTCTAATACAGCCAATGCTTAATTGCTCCTCTGAAACACTGGCATCAAAAATGGCTTTCTCCCTCCCCTTGTGAAAATGACTTTTACTTGATATGGGGATAGGTGTTATATACCGAGGTAAATGAGTTTCATATTAATGATTTGCCCCTTGGAGGAATGGAAGCATTTGTATAGAGTCTAAATCCATGCAAGTGAGATCTCATAGAGCAGAGGTGTTAAAACAAACTGACCTCTTATTATTTCATTCAGACTGTATCATAGTCTTTTTAAAGCACAATCTCATTAACTTTTGTATCTTTAATCACTCACGGATCTTTGAGTTAACACAGATCATTTTATTCATTTTTGAATCCCATATGTCTAGGATAGTACATGGCTAGATAATGTTTGCTAAATGTAAATACACTCTTGAGTTCATATATATGTCTTATCCACCAAAAGGATTATCTGTAGTAAATTTTCTTACACTGGACTGAATACTCTATAATGGCAAAGTACTTTCAAAAAAACTGTCTCTTGCTATCAGGTGGCACATACCTGAGGGATGAAAGTTAGAGTAAATATTATGATAAGAGATATAGAATCATTAAGATTATCTGTTAAAAAGAAATCTTTTAGAATATTTTCAAAATTATAATGTTAGTCACTATAGTCCCCTAATCTGTTACCTGTGTGTTTGTGCTGGATTTGATTAAAACTTATAATAATGAGCCTTTTAATTTCCAGATATCTTCTAAGAAGACTTGTAAATTGAATTTACCATTCAACCAATCCACAAACTTTTATTTAGCACACCACTGTATGCCAAGCAGTATCACACATCCTGGGTATATGGCATTGAGCAAGTAAAATGAGACCCCCTGTTTTCATATACTCTACATTTTAGAAGGAAGTGACCTACCATAAACATATAGACACATATATAAACAAGAAAATGTGACATATGCTATGCTAACAGTTAAAAACATGACCGTGGATGGGGCGGGTTACAAATTTATGTTGGGTGATGGGGAGGGTGTGGCGGTCTCACTAAGGATACTGAAACTGAGGCCTGAATTATAAGAAGGAACAAGATGTGAAGATGTGGAGACAGTTTTGAATTCAGTGGATGGTGAGGGAGGACTTTTCCAGGACTAAGATTTGCATGACAAAGAAGGGCAGCTCAGGTATAGCAGGGGGAATTCTTGCAGGGATGCGGTTTGTGCAAAGATTCTTTTTTTTTTTTTTTTAAGATTTTATTTATTTATTCATGAGAGACACACAAAGAGGCAGAGACAGGCAGAGAGAGAAGCAGACTCCCTGCAGGGAGCCTGACATGGGATTCCATCCCTGGTCTCCGGGATGACGCCCCGGGCTGAAGACTGCGCTAAACTGCTGAGCTACCTGGGCTGCCCATTGTACAAAGATTCTAAAACTGAAGCTCCTGGAAGAATTCTTAGCATATACCAAAGGAAGGGAAGGGAGGGAGAGTGTCTTAGGATGAGCCAGAGACCTGACAAAGGGTCCTCCAGAGGCTTTTCTGGAACAGGCTGAGGAACATGTATTTGTCTTAATCAGGATAGTGACACATTTGGTTTCCATTTTTATTCATCTTCCCCTCTTTACTGAATTTTGATCATCTTTCTTTTCAAGGGATTTTCTCAAAAGCAACCAAATATGCTCTGATCTTATCCATCTTTAATTCACCATATTTTACTTACCACTCTTTCTGCTCCCAGATATGCTTCTCAGAAAAGTTAACCGTGTATGCTTTTTTAAAAAATTCTTATAATTTCTCATCCTTTCAACTCCCCTCCATGTACTTGTCAATCAGTTTTTGCCTCTACCATCCCAATTAGATTGCTTTTGTTTCCCAGTGAACCATTCTCAAGCTCCATTATTGCTTGTATGCAGCAATATTGACCATAATGACCTGCAGGAAACACTTTCTTTCTTTCTTTTTTTTTTTTAAATAATAAATTTATTTTTTATTGGTGTTCAATTTACCAACATAGAGAATAACACCCAGTGCTCATCCCGTCAAGTGCCCCCCTCAGTGCCTGTCAACCATTCACCCCCACCCCCCGCCCTCCTCCCCTTCCATCACCCCTAGTTCGTTTCTCAGAGTTAGGAGTCTTTATATTCTGTGTTCCTTTCTGATATTTTCCACACATTTCTTCTCCCTTCCCTTATATTCCCTTTCACTATTATTTATATTCCCCAAATGAATGAGAACATACAATGTTTGTCCTTCTCCGATTGACTTACTTCACTCAGCATAATACCCTCCAGTTCCATCCACGTTGAAGCAAATGGTGGGTATTTGTCGTTTCTAATGGCTGAGGAATATTCCATCGTATACATAAACCACATCTTCTTTATCCATTCATCTTTCGATGGGCACCGAGGCTCCTTCCACAGTTTGGCTATTGTGGACATGGCTGCTAGAAACATCGGGGTGCAGGTGTCCCGGCGTTTCATTGCATCTGAATCTTTGGGGTAAATCCCCAACAGTGCAATTGCTGGGTCGTAGGTCAGGTCTGTTTTAACTCTTTGAGGAACCTGCACACAGTTTTCCAGAGTGGCTGCACCAGTTCACATTCCCACCAACAGTGTAAGAGGGTTCCCTTTTCTCCGCATCCTCTCCAACATTTGTGGTTTCCTGCCTTGTTAATTTTCCCCATTCTCACTGGGGTGAGGTGGTATCTCATTGTGGTTTTGATTTGTATTTCCCTGATGGCAAGTGATGCGGAGCATTTTCTCATGTGCATGTTGGCCATGTCTATGTCTTCCTCTGTGAGATTTCTGTTCATGTCTTTTGCCCATTTCATGATTGGATTGTTTGTTTCTTTGGTGTTGAGTTTAATAAGTTCTTTATAGATCTTGGAAACTAGCCCTTTATCTGATACGTCATTTGCAAATATCTTCTCCCATTCTGTAGCTTATCTTTTAGTTTTGTTGACTGTATCCTTTGCTGTGCAAAAGCTTCTTATCTTGATGAAGTCCCAATAGTTCATTTTTGCTTTTGTTTCTCTTGCCTTCGTGGATGAATCTTGCAAGAAGTTACTGTGGCTGAGTTCAAAAAGGGTGTTGCCTGTGTTCTCCTCTAGGATTTTGATGGAATCTTGTCTCACATTTAGATCTTTCATCCATTTTGAGTTTATCTTTGTGTCTGGTGCAAGAGAGTGGTCTAGTTTCATTCTTCTGCATGTGGATGTCCAATTTTCCCAGCACCATCTATTGAAGAGACTGTCTTTCTTCTAGTGGATCGTCTTTCCTCCTTTATCGAATATTAGTTGACCATAAAGTTGAGGGTCCACTTCTGGGTTCTTTATTCTGTTCCATTGATCTATGTGTGTGTTTTTGTGCCAGTACCACACTGTCTTGATGACCACAGCTTTGTAGTACAACCTGAAATC